GGGAGGACAAAGGGTCTCCTTTTCCCGCGCCTCCCCCCCCCCGGCCCCGCGCCCGCGCCCGCGCCGACCGGGGCGGGGGGGCCTCCGCTTTCAGTCATGGCCTCCGGCAACGCCTCCATCGGAAAGCCCGCCCCGGACTTCACGGCCACCGCCGTGGTGGACGGCGCCTTCACGGAGGTCAAGCTTTCGGACTACCGAGGTGAGGGATGGGCCTGGAAGGGGGGCAGCCCGGGGAGGGGGCAGCGGGGGACAGGGCCCTGACTTCTGGTGCGTCCCTTCCCAGGGAAGTACGTGGTCCTCTTTTTCTACCCATTGGACTTCACCTTCGTGTGCCCCACGGAGATCATCGCCTTCAGCGAGCATGCCGAAGACTTCCGAAAGCTGGGTTGCGAGGTCCTGGGCGTCTCTGTCGACTCTCAGTTTACCCATCTGGCCTGGTAGGAGCCGGAGGGTGTATTTCCACCCACACACCCTAGGGCTGAACCCCGGGCCTTTCTGTCTCCCCACCTGAACAGAATGGAAACAATGACACCCTGTGCTCGTAAGGACAAGGACAGTAATTAGAATCTGGCGACTGAGTTGCCTTGCCTTGGAGTTGGAGATGTTTTATCTCCCTGCGCTCTCAGGAGGGAGGCCTCTTCCTTTGCTTTTAGTTCATGGATGTATCAACTCTCTGAAGGGCTGGGGCTCAGGATGGAGGCAAGAGGAGGCTGGTAATTCTTAGCACAGGCTCCCTGCTGCTTGGTGGTGCTGGGGGGATTCTCCCCAGCTTCCCTGTCCCCAGCTCCTTTGGGTGGGGTGGGTGGGGCTCCTGGAGCCTGCTCTTGGTCCCCTTTATCTCTTGCCTCCAGCACCCCCACTCCAGCCATTATCATACAAAGATCCAGGGTGTCGGCAAGGTGCGGAGGCTTGGCATTTTGAGGTTGCCTAACTCTGTCTCCCCACCCCCCCCCAGGATCAACACCCCGCGGAAAGAGGGCGGCTTGGGCCCCCTGAACATCCCCCTGCTGGCTGATGTGACCAGAAGCTTGTCCCTTAATTATGGCGTGTTGAAAAAAGATGAAGGCATCGCCTACAGGTACCCTGCGGTTTCTCAGCCCAGTGTTTGGGAACACCTGTCCCAGGCTAGACCACAGAGGGTGGCGGGGGGCTGCGTTCCTCACCTCGAACCCTCCCTCGTGTCTCCAGGGGCCTCTTCATCATCGATGGCAAGGGTGTCCTTCGTCAGATCACTGTCAACGACTTACCTGTGGGGCGCTCTGTGGATGAGGCTCTGCGCCTGGTCCAGGCCTTCCAGTACACAGATGAGCACGGAGAGGGTGAGTCGTTCTGCGCGTGCCTGTTCACGGTGGAGAGTCGCACCTCCGCTACCTGTCAATCAAGTGGATTGATGGGAGGCTGCCTGCCCCAGTCCTTGTATGCCAGGGATATTAGAAGCCAATATAAGATTCATCCAAGGGGGCTGGGAAGGTGGCTCAGTGGTAGAGCACTTGCCTTGCATGCCTGAGGCCCTGGGTTCCATTCCTCAGCACCACATAAGAAAAAAGAAAAAAAGCCAGAAGTGGCACTGTAGCTCAAGTGGTAAAGCACTAGCCTTGAGCTGAAGAGCTGAGGGACAGTGCCCAGGCCCAGAGTTCAGGCCCCACGACTGGACCCAAAAAAAAAAAAAAATTCATCCAAGGCCCAGATCTTCACCGCAAGAGTCTAGCCTAGGGGAGACAGGTAACCCACATAGAAAGCTGGGACACTGGACTGGGAAGGTGGCTCAGTGGGAGAGCGCTTGCCTTGCATGCATGAGGCTCTGGGTTCGATTGCTCAGCACCGCATAAGCAGAAAAAGCCAGAAGTGGTGCTGTGGCTTAAGTGGTAGAGCGCTACTAGCCTTGAGCTGAAGAGCTGAGGGGCAGCGCCCAGGCCCAGAGTTCAGGCCCCATAACCGACCAAAAAAGAAGAAAAAAAGAAAACTGAGACACTGATAAAGCTCTATAAAAGCCTTATAAGATTGTGTCTCAGGCTTGAAAATATAAATGGAGCAGAGTACCTTTTTTTCAGTGTTAGGAAAGAACCAAGGCCTCACAGGTGCTAGACAAGTGAGCAACCTGGCCCCAGCCTAATCAATCTACCTTTCCTTCAGCTGGGAATGAAGGAGAAAGGAGATTAGAAGGTGTTTAGAAAAACAAAAAAAGGGGGAGTGGGCTGGGAAGGTGGCTCAGTGGGAGAGCGCTTGCCTTGCATGCCTGAGGCCCTGGGTTCAATTCCTCAGCACCACATAAGCAAAAAGAAAAAAGCCAGAAGTGGTGTTGTGGCCCAAGTGGTAGAGCGCTAGCCTTGAGCTGAAGAGCTGAGGGACAGCGCCCAGGCCCAGAGTTCAGGCCACGACCGGACCCTAAATAAATAAATAAAAATAAAAAGGGGGGGGGAATTCCTGGGAAGGTGGTTCAGTGGTAGAGCGCTTGCCTTGCATGCATGAGGCCCTGGGTTTGATTCCTCAGCACTACATAGGCACAAAAAACAGGAAGTGGCCCTGTGGCTCAAGTGGTAGAGTGCTCGCCTTGGGCAGAAGAGCTGAGGGACAGCACCCAGGCCCAGAGTTCAGGCCCCATGACCGACCGACAAAAAAAAAAGGGGGGGCTGGGAATGTGGCTTAGTGGTAGAGTGCTGGCCTAGCATGCATGAAGTCCTGGGTTCAATTCCTCAGTACCACATAAACACAAAAAAGCCTGAAGTGGTACTGTGGCTCAAGTGTTAGAGAACTAGCCTTGCACCAAACAAGCTCAGAGACAGTGCTCAGGCCTGAGTTCAAGCCCCACGACAGGCAAAAAAAAGAAAAAAGAAAAAATTGGGCTGGGAAGGTGGCTCAGTGGTAGAGCGCTTGCCTTGCATGCTCGAGGCCCTGGGTTCAATTCCTCAGCACCACATAGCAAAAAGAAAAAAGCCGGAAGTTGCGCTGTGGCTCAAGTGGTAGGTAGAGCGCTAGCCTTGAGCTGAAGAGCTGAGGGACAGCGCCCAGGCCCAGAGTTCAGGCCCCACGACCAGACCCAAAAAAAAAAAGAAAGA